ATAAGACGTTAGGGTTTTAAAGACAAAAGTTGAGTCCTGATCGTGCGATTAAACTGACCGTGAAAGACGTGTCTATATAGCAGCGATTGGAAAAAGTTCATATGTGTATTATATAAGAATAGGTGTACACTAGAAGGTTTAATGGATGGAAATCTGACAATATCTCTGCTGATAGTCACGTACATTGTATACAGAAATGTGTATATCGGACTATGTGCACGGACTCCTTGATTGTGAGTTTTTACCGTGATTAAATAAATAAAATAAAATATTCACTATTAGGGAGAATGTCTTGTAATCTTCAAACATCTTCCCAAATGTGCTTGAAGATAAGCAATCCTGGGATAATAAAATTCGGGTATGCAACATGAGATTATCAGACTCTAATCCCCAAATCCAAACCAAAGCAATCGTACTTTCTTGTCAATCTCACCTTCATGTTTCGAATCAGTTTCACTATACCGCTCTTCATTTTCTCTCGCTTTATCTATTTCGAGATATTAATGTCCGCTGTATCTCTTGCACCCCTCTCTATCGACTCCCTTGCTTTTCTTCGACACATCATCAAGTATTAAAAGACAAAGGGGGCCTTTTTTCACCAAATCCATTATTATATATTTTTATATTTTAAAGAAAAAAAATAAAGTGACGAATATTGAACTACCTGTAAGCAACTCGCAGGATTTGTTTAAGATTATTTAAAACCAAAAAGTCAACTATATAAAGGCATTCTTTATTGTTGGTTTGTGATTCAAGTTAAAGTTCGTATTGTAAATAGTGTTTGAATTTTCTCTGCCAAATGAAGTCACGGATTAAGAATTTTTTTTCAAAAGCTTTACTTTTGTGTATTTTTAAAAATTACGCATTGTCATGTTAAAAGAAACTCTTATCATTGAGTATTCTATTTATTCTTCAAATTTCTTGTTATTCTAATCATTAAAAAATACTTTAAGTGTCCAAAGATTACAAGAAATCTTCTTATTAACTCTCATCTTGTATATACTAAATTAACTAGCACTCAGTTCAAATCTTGCTCTGAACATATTCTGGTGTTGCCTTTGAAACTGCAATGACACAATCAAATAGACGCCAAATACAAATTGATTAAGTTTCAATATTTTTCCTTTAATTGACACGTCTATGAATACAAAATAGGGCATGACAATCAATACATACGAATACACTCTTCCTTAGACTGTACAAGGCACTATTTATAGTATTTAATTCTCCAATATTAATTACACATCAGTCTGTTGACGATATCGTTATTACCCCATACATTCTGTGACGTCACTATGAAATCGCGTTCCGTATCACTTTTAAAGTAATTATTAGTGCATGATAGCAAAATTCGCATTAGATATTGAGTGATTTTAATGAAAAATTAGTTAATTGAAAGAAATTTGATTTTCGTATTGATATTCGTCACAGAAATATTTAAATTCAATTGTGAAGATGATTGAAAATGAAATATCAAGTTAGTATAAATTGCCACGTTACTAAACGTGTAAACGTTGTTTATAAAGGTACGGAAAATATTTCCGAAAAATAGAAACCCGTTTTACTCTATAGAGTTGTCAAGTTACTAAAAGCAGCCTGCTGGCATAAATCAAAATCAAAATCAAGATCAAAGAACGGCCAATGAACTGGAAAAGATTCACCAAGGGAAACCACATTGATAGTTAAACCGGCAAATACAAAGGTATCAATAAGAACCCCTCAGAAAAAGTGATATTAAAAAAAAGAGGGAAGCTTGAAAGTTCCATTCGAACTCAAGAATCCATAAATCGAGTCAAGCTGGGTCCTAGCTGGTGCGAGCTATAAAGAATATCTGAACTTTGAACTTTGATTTTTGTAGCACATGATGGCAAAATCTCTCTTCCACAGAAAAAAAGGAATGTTACGTCAGAATTCGTTATCATTTTTCACGAACTATAAAAAAAGGCAAGACAATTCTAAGAAAGATCTTTTCACAGACCAAACGTAATGCTCTCTTCTTCCTACATATTATCATGAAACTTACAGAATTATAAAATGATCAGAAAACTGCTGGCATTTACCAATTAGTTTAAAAATGGTAAAGAATACAATTTTTCTAAATATATTGACTCGGCTGTCGGTCTCTGGATTTTAAAAATTTATAGTATAACTTTTAATCAATATAAAATCACCCTTAAAAAGTAACAAACAATTCTTAAGCATAACGCGGGCTTTCATAGAAGATAAGTGACTTTAGAACATTCCTGAGTTTGTTCTGAAATAGAATAAATTTCACTCTCCTTTTATTTGATAGGAAATGCAAAATATAGCACCAAGCTTAAAATATGTATACGTTTTAGATATAAAAAGAATTGTTTTTTAAAGAAATAACATCAAGGTCCTTGGCTTTTAAGAAAAATATCGGGCAAATATCTCCTCAGAGGAGAAATGGTAATATGTACCCACATGGAAACAAGAAGACATGTTTAGATGACAACAAATAAGTTTTCGTTCCTTACGAAATTTTTACATAACATATAAATATATATACAATTGTCATAAAATGGATGCAACCAGTACGGCAGTGTAATATTTATAACCACAGAACACGAATAAATCTTATAAGCATAGCGATACTTTATAATGGAATACGAATACTCTAAAGAAATAAAACCATTTGAATTCAAATACATAATAATATATTGTCGAGATTAAATTTTACTTCGCTATTTACAAATTACTGTCAGATATTTTTCGTAGAAGAATATCTTCAAATATCTTCCAATATCTTAATAATATCTTAACATTTCAACGTTTTATGAAATAAACGGCGTACCATTCCAAATACAATATTTTTCTATTGTATACTATGTCGTAACATATCAATATTATTCTTCCCAAAACCCGTTATCATTCGCATGATATAAGTGGTAAAATAAGGTACTACTCAAGTGCTAGCTTTTCAATACTCCCTTGAAATGAAAAGGGAGAATAAGGTTATATTAGCAAGTAAAGCTACATAATAACTTATCTTTTGTGTTAATTCTAGTTTACTTATGTATTCTTCAAATCAAAGTAGACTAAGTATGGTATACAGTAAAAGTGTAAACCCCACAGCAAAATCACCATGCCAGTCAATGTATACAACATGGTACGTAGTCTGATAAATCAGTTACGTTATTAAACAGACATTTGGCATTTATTGTTTTAGTTTCAGTGATTTGCCAGAGATTCCAGAGCATAACTTGGATCGTAAAGACGGCGAATTTAACGTAAACATTTGATTACTCTAACAAGAGCGTCGTGTGAATTGTACCAGGAGATTTCTTTGATTAACAGTAGAAAGAAATGAATTCAAAATTTAGTATTTTCCTTTTTGAAAGCTATTTCCCAATGGCCCACTATCAAAACACAAGCCTAGATCAAGTGTTGTTGAAAAAAAAATCACAATATTTTGTGAGGTAGCAATACAAGTGACAGGCTTCGCGAAAGAAAACTAATTATCACTCAAAACTCTCGATAGATTCCAATAATTTGAGCCACTTTGGACATGGGCAGGCTCTTGTCTAGGGAGAATATACATGATACCATTAATGAAACACAGTGATCCCTACTTATAGATACACAAAATATACCTTTATGCCCTGCAGAAATCCATGATCATGTACAGATTTGAGTCACACTCGTATTTGATCGGGATCTAGCTACATAGATGAACACAAAATGAATACTGTTGCTATGATACTAACATGTTTTGTTGAGGTAAGATGGCGCCTATGACTAGCAGCCTCTTGCCAGATAGCGTCTTTTTTTCTCATTCGCAAGTCAACTTCGTATGAGGCAGTACAACCGATACCATACACTTGGTAGATTTTAAACCTCTTATTTTCATTACAATAACCATGGCGACCGTTGATAATCGTTGAAGATGTGTGATTCGTTCGCTCGGCGGATCCTGGCTCGTAATTCTCGTACCAGTCGGACAGCCGCAGCTCCTCTATAGTCTTTCGTATACCCTTAGGCACAGTTTGCATCAATCCACATCGTTTCGATGGAGGAGTTGTCATGGGAACGCTTGGACCCAATGCGCTGATGCTGTCCTTTACAAGGTGTCATGGAGATCATAATACGTTGAAGTCCTCGAGTTTCGCCACACTTCCTCAGAAGTCATGGAGTCAAATATACAGTTTCAAAGTTCTTGCGGCTTTGTTCTACGTCGCTTTCTCTCTGTCAATAATGATGTCTATTGTACGCACAACTTCGCCCTTCTGTGCGCGCGCGTAATGGATTTGATGCCGTCCCGGATGCGCATGGCGTTGGTCCTGTCTTGACATCTCCGCGTTGATTTCCGCGAGCAACGTCTGTACTCGATCAGCGTTTCGCAGGGATCGATGTTTCCTGATCGTAGTGATGAGATAAAGTTCGTATTGCAGGGTTCCATTGTCGATCTCAAACACGTGTGCGATGACCTGAGCAGGGTGGTGGGGTCCACGTCCGTGTTCCTCAAACTATTGCTGGATCTTGACCTATGACCTGCGTGATAAGAACAGACGGTGGCCAATTTAATAAAGACAGACAACGGTTGACATGTACTTGATCGAATTATGTGTGTTTAATTTTCTCAGAAACACCTGCAAAATTTGATTTATAAACATTTTCCAAATAATTTCCCTTTGCATGCTCATTTTCAATTCATTTGATCTCACAATAATCTCCCAATTTTGTGATTAATTTTCATAAATGTAAATTCATTGAAGTAGGAGTTTAATAATGAAACTTAAAATATGAATGTCACACTGCATAAGGTGTCTTTAAGTAGTCCCTTAGAATTTCATATAATTATTTGCTCAATTTTACCAACATGAGCTAATACAAAGCGGTTTCCCCAACTTTATCAAACCCTTCCTTCCAAAAATCTTTTCTGTCACCTTCTTGTAAAAGGCAAATCAGTGCTCACCGTTCTTCGCTGATCGGACTAGTCTCACTCCTGAAGACGGGATCCCTGACACTGTCTCCTCATTCACATGAATGCCTGGGCATATTCCTGAACGGATAAAGCTGGCTACGGTCTGCTTGACATCGGCAACGTAGTCGTCCAGGTCACAGTACTCGTTTTCCCGGCTTACGCATTCGATGTGCGTCTGTGAACAACAACAGGAGAGTATGTTAAAGGATGGTACACACTGTAAGTGGATCTTACTGTCTTTAACAGACCACTAATTTGATTACAACATAATAAAATATGCAATTCGAAATTATGGAAACGTTTTCTACCAATATTATTGTCTAGTGAAAAATAGTGCACTTGCCTGTTATAAGGTGATAATGAACGTAAAATTTGCGTAGCTTTTCGGCGTATATCACAAATAGGAACATTTCAAGCCAATTAGTTTAGTACGTTGACAGACGTTTCTTTCCGTTCATCTGTATTATTTTTCTACGTGACTATGTTTGGGAGACACGAGTTGGCCCAAAAGCCATAACTATTTCAGAGAATTATTTCATCAGAGCTCTCGTATTCTGGACCTTTTGAACAAAAGTTATGCACCATAGCCCCAAGTGATTTTAGAATGAAAAAATTTCATACAAATTTGGAGATTTCTGAAAATAAACGTTTACTAATTTTCACCTGTAGAGCTTTGCAAAGTGTATTATCTGCTGTTTCTTCTGCCTCGATTTGTTCCCAAACGACCAGAAATGACTCCTTATCACAAATCTGCATCGACAGTGTTCTGCAGTTAACTGGAATGAAGAGAAGAAGGTAGAAAAATGTACATATTCATTATCATTTTTGAAAAAGAGAGCAGCTGTGTGGACATTTTTGCGAGTTGAGGCATAATATTATTGTACTTGAAAGTAAAAAACTTTTAAAGGGACATTTGGAGAAGTATGTGCAAACCAATAATATTGTGAATAGAATGACGAGCTAGTGCCAGAGTATGAGTAGTCAGTAAAATTTCATGAAGGATAAGTCGTGTCCATAGACATTGTAAATCCAGAAACGCTTGCGATTTTTGAGAGCGATTTCCTCGGTAAGAAAATTTCGCATATCGCAAAAATTCAGTGTTATGTCAGTCTGATTCATTGTATTCGCGGCATGAAACTTCGCGAATTTGAACCACTCGGGTCTCGCAAAATTTGCGACCATTACATGCTAAAAAAATTCTATTAATTTAAGCCTTTCTCTATTACATGTCTCATGTTAAGTACACCTCGTTCGTGCACATCAGCACATCACTGGTGTATTAATAATCACATTCAAAGGAAATAATGCTCTCTAGATATCTACTAAACCAAATAATTCTCAGATCAAGTTGTCAAAATTGCAGACGGAAAATGAAACAGTTTAGGAAGGTTGCTCTGTTTTCACACACGACGGCATGTTGAACGAGTTTTACTGTGGTTGCATGGCGAGTAATTTCTATTTGATAACACAGACACCTCTATTTACATCGGTTAATCGAAGGAGACATGCAAAGTGTGGACTACCCATTGTTCCAACCAATGTTTAAGTTAGGTAGTCAATAAATTGTAAAACCGAATGTGGTTTGCAAGTAATTAAATGGTTTGTGTTTGTATTTAGCATGTGTCATCTTTTTCAACATACCAATGTTAAAATCCTCTTGTTCAACTATATGAATCTGAAAGAAAACTAAGTATTAATCCGCATAGACCGCATATACTGCTTGGTAGATTGGGAACAAAATTTATGATATTGTCATTAAATAATAATTAAAATACTTTTTAGATGATATCTGTCAAAACATCTTTGACCCGGTTACCTCCGAGAGAATAATAATGAAATAGAGAGAGAGAGAGAGAGAGAGAAAGCGAGAGAGAGAGAGAGAGAGTTAGAGAGAGAGAGGTGGGGGAGCACGAGAGAGACAGAAAGGGGAAATCAAAATTCCATACTGCGCTGGCACGGCACCAACTATGAGCGCATATATTGACATAGGTAGTAGAGCACAGAAAAAGGTATTGTTGTTTAAACAAAACACACAATGGACTGAGAAGGAAGGTCAGAATATGAAAGCATAAACCAAGAAAGCAAAGTAAACAAGAATTGATAATTATGCTTATTGAGTTGTCATTCATTGCTGTTCTGTTTTGCACGCAAAATAACCGCGAAGGTAGGATTGTTATGATTTGTGGCACGGAATGTCGTGTGTATAGATTTAACCAAAAAAAAAAACGATTTCATCATTAGAGAAATAAAATATTCCGTATTTTGTCATTCAACGAATAGACCAGGGTCCAGAAAAAGAAAACTTATAAAGCCTAGCTGGTAATCAAAATGGTCCCTATAGTTGTTAACTACCTCGAAATGGTATTCATAAAACTCGACTTAGGTTAGTTAGCAACTAGTCATTCCATTGTCGACTATGAGAGGGGAAACAGAGGTCAGAATTCTATAGAATTGGAAAAGATTATTATTGCTAACTAGGCTTAGCAAAGTTTTATGAATATATATGCCCAGGTCTCAAATATATTGAAAAGGTGTGGATGCTTCGTATTACACGATTGCTAGTATATTAAAAGAATATAGGTCGCACATCAGTTTTTACTATGTCTGGCAATGTGATTGAGGACAGTCAAAAGCAAAGATCGTGATAACATTATGCACAAACAACAATAGTATTTGTAAAGCGACAAAAAATGTTTGAAATTGATAAAAAAAATGAAGAACACAGTTAATTTAGATGACTCGAGAGGATGTTTTCCAATGAAATTACAATAAAAACGACAAAGATATTATTGATATATTAGCTTTGAATTTTGTCTGATATCATACTTGGTGGCGTGACGATCAATATTTACCCTTTTTCCTTTTGATTCAAGTCTATTTTTAACCCGTATGTAGTTGTTCATGCAGGAGCGCTCATGTACTGGATTTACTATATGTGCTACATCTGTGTAAACATAACTGTTCCCTTTCTTACTCAACACATATTGTTTTTGATATTTATTGTGCAATAAACCTAATATTCCTGAACATAATGCTCAATTGAATTTATCCTTGAATATTTAATGACATACCCTTAATTATTATCCACATCTTCGATACATTTTTCTAAATCTTTTATAATATTGCTGTGTGATGTTACCATTAATTATTTTGTTATATTTCCTTTGTATTTTGATGATGGTATTATCATATTCTAAATATCTGATTACGTAAAACCAACAATATCAGCCTTGAGCTGCATGTCATGTTTTTAAAAATAAATAAACCAATTCAATTCAATTCAATTCAATTCAATTCAAATTGCACATGCATGCTTTCGGTATTCAGAGTAATGTTCTACATACATGTATTTATGTATTTGTGTCTATTATGTACCGTGCAGTTATGTAAACGTGGTCCCACATGATATTATTTATGCCGGCGGTGCGTCACAATATTGTGTTCCTCATGTTTTTGCTTCGGCGTAAGCGGCGCGTGTCATTTAAAGAGAAGGTCGGGTTCTGGTAAAGGGAAAACAAACATGATTTGTAAACATTTTCATTCATTTTATTCACTCGTACAAGGATATCATAACAGCATGTGTCATAACAAAAAGAAAATCTCTTGAAATGTCCCAATATTCTAAATATAACGAGGAATAGTTCGAAAACGTCTTTGGACCCAAAATTGATGCCACATGTGTGTTAATTCCCATGTACCCGTGTACATGTATGTGTGCAGTGTTTTCACTGGGTACTATTTTCAGTAAGATTAAGTCAATATGATGATTTAAAATCACAATTATACAATTATTCCAACATAACTTTTCTTACCTGATTTATATTGTTCTTAAATCAATGCATTAGTATAACCAGATTTAAACATAAATTTGTATAGGGCAATGGCTCATTTTGGACCCTGCCTAGCGAAAGGTGTTTTCCCCCCTTCAATACAAGAGCTTTATTTTCATAAATAGTTGATAAAATACCTATGATAAAATGTCTATTTGGGTTTCTCTTATCATTGTCATGACTGTAGCACAAGTCAACCCAAATCTATCTAAAACAATGTTTTATCATCAACTAAACGAAAAGTAAAACCTTTGCTATCTCAAGTTGAAGGGGGTTATCAGAAAGTCATCCCAACCCTCGCACTGTGGCCCACATTCGTTCACATTTGTAACCCATTTCTAGGGGAGAGTTCGAAGAAACAGAACTACAATGCACGACACCTCTGCCTATGTTCACTGCTGTATTTTGTCTTGGCATTGTCTGTCTCTTTAGGCAATATCACTTCCGTGTTTCACCAGCTTTTAGATGCTCTCACAAATTGGCCAAATTGGTTTCCGACCAACTTTCATGACTTTTGGCAATTCTATGAAAAACTTTATTGCCCAATCGTAGTCAAGGTCTTTCTCATAGTTGTACAAATCAATAGATTTGGGGCAGATAATTTAAACAACACTGGATAGCACACAATGACTCTCATGCTGATATTTTCAAATCATCGTATAGCAAGCGTTATTTCCCCCTTTATATTGGTAAGAGTTCATGCATCAACAGGATTATCTTCTTGTCTGGTTTCAGTGGACTATACAAGCCATGGCTTATCCGAGAAAAGTAGTAAACACTGCATTCATGTTAATTTGACCATGAATAAGTAAAGGATTGGAAATCACTTCTCCGAGTCTGCAGAGAGCAGGAACGGGGATGGCATTTCGAAGTTGCAATACCGCTGAACAACTTAGTTTTATGCCCATTGGGATGGGATCGGTTTCTGATGTTTGGTCCTACTTCTAATTTCCCTCAAAACCTCAACGATAATACATTTCCTGTTTATGAGACCCGATATCTCGAGTTGAATTCCAGAACTTGGAATACATTTTTTTCGACAAATTTTCCTTCGGGGTTGTTGATACTTCTCGCAGCTCCCACCATGCTTTAATGCTCTCATCGGCTAAGCCTCTTTTATATACACGGGCCTTCTTAAAGTTTACAGTCAAGCCGATTGTGTCGCCGCTTTTGAAACTATTATAACACCTAAACAGCCGGTCTCTATTTTTCTACCAACAATAGAATCGGAAGTATTTAAGGGGCCGTGATACGACGGGGTCGGTGTACTTTATCGCAGCCCGTGTTGATTTCTACCCCTACTATATTTAACGCTTGTGCCTTTTCATCATTTTCAGGGGTTCTGCATCGTTCCGCTCTGAGGGTCCCTCCTTTTGTTTCTTCACCAAAGCGTGTAACGAGACTAAAATATCCCGGAAAAAATATCTCCTTGGAAATCTTCGGATCTCCCCCGTAAAACCCAAAGAGGGGAAAATGTAATCAAAGGAAAATCTCTAGGCAACGCTGAAAGCCAAAAGTATGATTTTAAAAGGTCAAAGGGAGTTGTTTGTAATTTTCCAAATTCTCTTGTAGAAGAACTCCATTTTTTATTCCTTCCATATAAGCACAAATACATTACTAGTGAGGAAAACTTTGCAATTATTTTATTTCCTTTGATATGATATTGACCTACAATGTGACTTCCCTTTTAAAATTGGTACGTGGTGTAACGAAGGATATTTTAAGAATATGCCTATTGTGGCCCTTAGGCCTACTACATGCATCGTTATCCCGGATCGTTACCATTTTAAGTCGTTATTAATGCCCTGGATTATGTCGTTTGTCTACACCCAAAACGTTGCATTTTCATTGATATTGATGTATCATTATTAATTTATGAATCTATTTGATCTATTCTGATCGTTAAACCATCCGCAATTCGGCTATTCGGAAGCGAATAAATTCTTATCGATATACCGTTTTAAATAAACAAGATAAATGAATAATTAAATTTAAAAAAAAGGATATTAGCAGCTCTTGAAATGGTCAGAACACGGTCTACTTGTATCCTACAATAATCCTCATAGATATCGGCAAATAATGATGTCGTTCTCTCGTATGATATGCAAATGTCGATGGTTTTCGACTCAGACAAGGAACACTATTTCATTGCCCAAACCTGCCCACCGACAGACAGACAATACAAATCCCAGTCTAGTATTGACCTTATACTATATCTCTTTTCAATGAAATGACAGAATATATATATGTCAGGGCTGCCAATAATTTTCTTAGACAACTCTTGCGTTTCCGTTGGGGCCAGGAGAACATACACGACGACGTGACGTCTCAATGGAAAAAATATTCTTGATAACAACCACAAAACGCATCCTGGTATTTTGACTGGAGATTAATGTTTGGTTTGAGGAGTATAAATAAAATGATAGGATCTTCTTTGCCTGCCATTGTATCAGATTTCCTGCCCGTGTTTCTCAGGGTTCAAGTTTTTGATCGTCATGCCCATTAGTGTCACATCTTTGACAGCATCGTTGTATAGCAGAGGAAACCGCTATCTTTAAAGGACTTTTCAGACTTATGGTTGTTCTGTTCCCTCCAGGAAACTGTAGCCTTTGACCCCTTCTTCATGAATCTACAACGTTTCCGAAGCAACGATTAATGGTAATAAATTCTTCCGTGAAATTCTTCAAGAAAACACGAGAGCACAAATTGGAGAATGAGAAATACCATGGAGAGCGTTTATTTTTTTACTTAGAGGTGTGAAGCTGTCTGGGGTATCACAAAATAATAATACATTGGGGATACTGTCGACAGCAGATTCCAAGATCATATGATGTTAAGTCAGAGTAATTAGGGGACTCTTTCAATTTCAACCTGGTGTCTAAACGTACCTTCCATTGGGTCCGGCAGCTGGCCAGCCACGCCCATCCCGATGTCTATCCCGGTCTCATCGACGACATCCCCGCAGAGGTTCTCGATGTAGATATTGCCATCGCAGTCCGGGTCGTACCTCTGGAACACGATGGACACTTCCATATCTGTCATGTTAGGGTTGGCAAGTCTGTACTCGGCCTCCGTAACGCGCCCGTCCTCGTTGAAGTCGGTCATCTGGAATATTTCTTCGCATGTGTAAATCGGTCCATCGTCGATGATACTGTGAAACGATAAAAAAAGAAATGGAAAGGGCATGAAAAACCATATTCAATAAACACATTTTAACATCTATAAGATGTAGAATAGCTTAAGCATTTGGAGTATGTTTCTATTTCTTATTATTTTTTGAGTACATAATATGGGTATATATTTCAGTATTAGAAGTAAACCGAAATTGAAGTGCTATTAGTTTTTCTTAAAGTCTCTAAGTTTATTCAATTCTTTCCTTGACACCTGTTGACATTTGTAATCTTTGTTATCTCCAAAACACACGATTTTGGCGTTTCTAAAAATATGAATTTTCTAACCTTTTGCACAAAGTATGAGAGACAGAACGTAAATAACCTCACCTATTACTGTACTCTTCGTCTATCGATGGAAAGTCGGCTATCGCTCCCGAATCTATTTTGGTCAAGGATTTGGTTTCCATCTCTGCTTCCTTGACAGATCTGACGGTGAGGTCCATGTGTTTCCTGTTCGCCGAGGGATGCGCGCTCTTCGGGAGAGAGCTGCTTGTCGTTATGGAGATGACATACAGGAAGCAGAACAGCGTTATCCTCATTTGGCAATGCATTCTGGGAATGATGAGAAAGATGAAGATGCCTTGGTCAATTGATATAAAAATGAACACTTTACTGATGCGTTCAATGAGTGATATTGGCGCAAGATCGGTGATCAAATTGAGAATGATATGGTGGATTAAATACGTATGAAATTGTTCAAAATTGCCAATGTCGCTTGTTAGCTTGCACTTTAGTCCACGATATGAAAACAATTACAATACTAGACATTCAAGATGGCGAAGCAACACCCTCTCAAATTGACTAGAGATGAAACTTGATATCAAAATATGGATGGAAACTGTATCGAGGAAGGTATAAGGAACGATAAAGCTTCCGGTGATTTGTTTATCGTACTCTGAATAGGTTCTGCTTCGAAGTAATTCTCTCTGAATGTGGAAGGTTATGTGAAGAGCTGGTAACGGTTGATCGTCAACTGCCAAGAATTGTTTTGAGACGCGCCTTAAATGGACCCGAGGAAAGACAATTGTACTTCTTCTGAGGTATGCTTAATGTGAAGGTGATCAAAAAGTACAAGGCAGAGGGGGCAATCTGCACAACAGATCAGAAATACTGGGGGAAGAACAAGTATCGTTTAATTCATAGTACAAGAACCAAAGACATCGAAAAGAAATCAGAGAGGAACGCGGCTTTTCAAGTTTGCCGTCTTGAAACGAACAATTAAAACCGAGAAATTGTTACAAAGAAGACGTCCGATTTGATTAGAAGGATTGCGGCCATTTCAAGGTAGGAGGCACACAACGCTCTATGCCTGCCTAATGTTGATTACATAATGAAAACAAATAAACAGAATGCATAAAGACAGTCTGCAGAGGAAAGTGCAACATCACACAGCCAAGATTGGTAGAGAAAAGTGCTTCAAAAGGTCGGTGTACTTTAGGCAGATAGTGCATTGCCTTCTTCATCCATATTTACACTGTATAAGGACGACATATTACTTGATTGATGAATATGTATCATACAATTCCCCCTGACTGAATGAAAATTGTTAATACACTGATGCGGTTGGGTACGGTCTCAACAGATATGCGTGTGTATTGCATAGCGATATCATCATGCACACCACGTTTTTATTAAACACTCACTCACATCAATAACAACGTCTGCAGAAAAACGGCAAGTCGCCAGAAGTCATGAAGATATAGTTTCTATCAAAACTTGTTTTGTTTTTGTTTTAAATTTACTGAAAACCCCCAAGATTGTGGGTTTCTTGTCAATTTCCGCATTATGTTACGGATTTTCTCAAACTGGATGTAACATCTGGAAGGCATTTTGCCTTTGGTTGCTTTCTTCGCGTCTGTGCACAGTTTGTCGTTTGCCAAACGCGCTATTTTGCACAAAACAATAGGTACCAATAAAGTGATGGAAGGCTAGCTTTGTGCTACACAGTGATGTAGTTGATATCACTAAATAATGTTCATATCTTCCTCAGATAAAAAAGCAAGTGTATTACAAAGTCATGTGAAAGATCTAGCCCTTGTATTGACAGTGGATTGCAAAAAGTATATCAATTATCACTATGAACATGACGGACAAAGAAAGAGGACAAAATATACAGTTCCTCATTCTACCCTCAACAATTGATGTGGTAGACAAAGGAACATCCCTTCACTGCTATTATGTAAAAATGTGTAGAACATGTGAATATGCATGTGACACCTGTTCTACACATTTTTACATAATAGCAGTGAAGGGATGTTCCTTTGTCTACCACAGCAATTGTTGAGGGTAGAATGAGGAACTGTATATTTTGTCCTCTTTCTTTGTCCGTCATATTCATAGTGTACTGTGCCTTAGCAAATCAAAAAGTACGTTCATATCTTATAAAGACTCGATGAGATAAAACAAGTTTAAAATAGAAGAAAAGAAGTTCTACGCGTAGTTATATATTTTAACAAATCAAGAAAATTACTGAGTAGAGGCATTACACCATTGTATGCATCACTCAAAGACTGCAATGTTTAAAGATGTCGACAAAGATAATAACCCATAGGAGGACACCTGGCGTGATTGTGCCGCCAACACACACGGCCTCCAGACCTTGATCGCACCCACAGAACACACCCACCATCCTTCCACACACGCACACCTATCCCCCCACACCAAACGCCACTCCACACCTGCACGCCGTAAATGGATTCGATTAGCCCCTGTTCCGCACGTGTCGTATCCCCAGGGGAACACTTTTGTGCACCTTTTCCTTTTCTTTATTACCCACTCTCTCTCTCTCCTCAATAGTTATTTCTTGTTTGATTGATTCCAAAACAACGTCGATATGTCAACAGAGAATTTGACGTCTTCCGAATGCCAGCTTTTGATTGACAGGCGCCGAGCAAACTGAATGATGATGAACAGAGAGAGATAGAGAGAGAGAGAGAGAGAGGTATCTCGCGGGTATAGGAACCTAAACAATATTTTTCCTAAAATGGCGTCATGGATGACTAGCGGGCTGGATAATTGTGGGGTGCTGTTATCTAAATGCTAGCATCATTCGACCATTTCCAGGAATGTTGTTTGCAGTATTAGAACCAAAGTTGTTTGTCTTCTTCTTCTGTAGATTCTGATATAATGATATCTAGGGAGGTCGAGGTAGAAGGGAGGTCGAACCGAGACATCCCTTGTGTTATACCATTCACTCATACATAAAAACCCTAATGGTAATAACAATTGTGATAATACTTCCAGTACTCTACAGGCCAACAAGTGCATATTGAATAGAGAGTCATCAACTGTTTCAGTATACCTTGACGGTGGGTCACCAGCTTCCTAAATCATCTATCAAAGAGAAAATAACTGCTGCATCATTACAATTCATGCTCTTTATACTTAGGGGACACATTTGGCGCCAGGTCATATTCGCTTTGATAGAGGGCGAACTGACCACATGGCGTTGCTTGTGTAGCTTGGTATTAATGATACTAAAGACCTCACAAAAGCCTGTCCATGTCAATAGAACTCAATAACCATTACCAGCTATGTAAAGTAAGACGCTGTACATTTAAATGAACGAGACTGAAGTTTCTCCCGTTATTTTACAGCAATTATCTGGTCAAGCAAGAAGCTGTACATCTAATTGAATGAAACTTGGGTTTCTCCCATTAATTTATTGCAATTACGTATCGCGCCAAGCAAGGGAGACAACAAAAACGATTGTAACAATATCGGAAGCTCATAAACACATCATTATTGTTGCATCGACCCCTACTGTCTCCTTCAAACGAGCATGAGAATTGTCCGAATGGAGCCGACGTGCCTAATATATTCTAGGATCAATATTTAATATAGAAATTGGGATAAATATTAGTTATGTACTGAAACAACCTTGCCTGCAACCTCCAAACGAAATAAATACATTGTTATGGTGCTTGGTTAAAACCATAGCTGCACAAGACCAGTGTTTGTTAAGTAGTGGGTGCACTTAGCAGGGTCATTTATATCTATATAATTTGTATTATTCCCTGACCCGTTTGTATACATTCATCATAGATAATTATTGTTGGTGTGGTTTGGGATTCATCGCTATTTATAGATGTACTAAGTGGGTTGAGCTAGGTTAATACGGTGGATTACTAGAGAAAATAAGTTGTAGTGTTTAGCGTTTATGATTATGATGTGTGTATGATTATGTATTATGATGAAGCGTATGAGAATGTTTTTTCTTTCCCATTGGCGTTAATTAGTGTGTTACATAAGTGTGCGCGTGTGTGTGAGGGGGTGGGTGAGGGGGGGGGGGGGAGAGGGATGGAGAAACTAAAACTTCGACCCCTTTCGTGTGCACAAGAATATCGACCCACTCCTATGAGAAAAGCAGTGCACCTGGAATGCTATGTTTGAAAGGCCTATTACAAACCTATCAAGATAGATTATAACCGTGATCAAACAAGATCAAACGACTATTGGAACCGAGCCATTAACGAGGTACCACTTTTGGTGTGAAATAATCGTACGTTGACAAGTGCTCGGAATTTGAGCTCTCTTTTTCTCTTTCTTTGTCTCTCTCTGCTGCATGAAATCACTTCTCATAACTTCACCTGCGCCATGAAAATAATAGATTCAAGTTGAAACGGACCCCGTGTGATAATAGATCCTTTATTCTCCGTGAGTTTTCATTCACTCGCCCCTAATCTATACATGCAGGTGTGTCACAAGAATAGATCGGTACCGTATGGTTCTTTGTTCTAAGCGGTTTAGAAAAGGTATTTCACACTTCATCCACACTGCTTATGCCCTCTTTAAACTTGAAGAGGCTTTATTTTTTGTGTAAAAGAACAAAATGCACGCAGCTCTTTGCGCGACGCGGCAGGTGCGAAAAAACTCGTGTTTACGATTTGTAGTTGTAGACGAGCTCTTTTTCTTTCTGGGATAAGTTCACAATAGGGTTCGTGCAATGTACAAAGAGTGCTTATCACCCGTAGACGATAATGAAGTAGGCACTTGATATACTGCCTAATCTCTCGTAGTACATTCTGAGCGCGTTATAGCAGGTGTCACACCCGTCCGGGATGGTAAAGGGGACCATAAGTTGAATACCAGGGCACTATTTTACAGGTGAGCGCCACACAAATGATTCGGATCTAATCAACAATACAACCGCCCATGGCACTTTGCTGTCAATAAGTATGATAAAAAAAACTTGAATTATTACTCTTTTATGCTTTTTAATTGTTTCTCAGTATTATGTTTCCTTAAACTCAGAACGATGGCATGATGTTTTACGAGTCCAACGTACTTATTCCATACAAGAAGCGGCGCCGGTTTTCCGAGGGAATCCTGCTTCTTAGCCCCGGGAAATATCTTGAGAAAGAAGTATTCGACGTAAATATCGTGATAACACCGGCACATTGTATTTCAAGTCGCCTTAATATACACTCTAACCTATCAATCATGCCTCGGCAATGTACATATTTACCAAAGTCATTTTCGATGTTTTCACAATCCATTCTTGGTTTGCATTGATTTGGACCTCGTTTTTCATCGGTTGTATTGTGGTCCTC